CAACCTCCCCCCTCCCCCCCAGCCCCAGCAAAGCCCTACTCTTCGCCCCCTTTGCCCACTCCCGCACTCTCCTCGTCGCCGTGCCCAACGCCGTCAAGCAAGTCGTGTACGCGCCGCTCGCGCGCGCCTGGATCCTGACGAGTATGAACCCTTTTACCGGCAGCCCGAAACCGACGGTTAGCTGGACGCTGCAGTCAAAGGGGGTGTTGTTTGCGGATGCCGGGTTTAATGCGCGGTTGGAGGCGTGTGGGGATGCGGAGGTTAGGAATCATAGGGTTTATGGGCCGGAGGGTAGGTGAAGGGGTTTGTTTGTGTGAGGTGGGTTTCTTCGTTTTCTAAGGGGGGTTTTTTTTCCGTCTTTCTTGGTTGGGTGCGGTCAACTTTTTATTTTTGGCTTTCTTTTTGGTTAGGAGTAGAATTTTTTTTGGCGTTTTGGTGTAGATGGTGTTAAATGGTGGGGGTACCTATGGCGAAGGGTGGGTGTGGGTGTAGGCCCTTTGGGTTGCACGATATGATGTCACGGTGGTGCCTTTTTTTTGCGATCTCTCCTTTTCTTTTCTTCATTCTTTTCGTCTTTTCTCCTTTCCTTTATTCATTTTCTCTTTCTCTATACCTTTTCGTCTCTTCCTTCTCTTCTTCTCTTTCTCTATCTATTTTTCATTTTCTTCCTTTCCATACAGTCTTGATCCTCAACGGCGTTTTTGCGTTTCTTGTCCATCATCATTCGTTGGGAAAGTCTCATTATCCGTGCTCGATACCATTCGTTGGGAAAGCGTCATCATATCTTTGTTTATATCATTCGTTGGGAAGTATCATTATACCTTTGTTTACATCATTCGTTGGGAAAGCATCATCTCGTCTTTTTGTCTATACCATTCGCTAAGGAAGTATACCCTTTTGTCTATACCATTCATTCAAAGAAGCTCAGCATTTCCTTTATAGCCATTCGTTAATCAAACCATATTCTTTCTTTGAAAATTGGTCAGGCCTTGCGCGTCTGCGGTTAAGCTTTGTTTATGCATGACTGAAGTAGGAGTGTGGGGATGGTGATGCCGGGAGTCGGGATGTAGGACTGGTTTTGTTGGTACGTCTGCTGGTCTGCTGGTCTACCAGTCTCCTGCCTAATGATTCATGCAGACAGTACTCGTATCGAAGGATCACTCGCAAAGAGACATCACGAGTTCAACAGGCGCTTTACTAGTAAGACCCCACCACCGCCGGCAGTACATCATCTATATCAACAGCACTGTCTACCCATATACATCATCAGTCTATCCCCTTCTAACACACCCTCTTCCCTACCACTGCGATCCTACATCTAAATCGCTGAGTTTTCTCCTTGTGTTGATGCTTCTGCTACTTTGGTCTGGCGGGGAGATGATGTAGCTAAGGCTATATTGGGAATGGATGGGGTGGGGTGGTTGTGTCGACTGGTTGTGTAGACTGAGTGGGGGATAGGTCAGTAGTGCGGCGTGAAATGTCATTGATTGATAGAACTAGCTACGGTGGAGAGGCGTAGTTGTTGTTGTTATTGTTTCGGGGTTCTTCCGCGGGGATATAAGGCTTATGCTTCTTTTTTTAGAGGTTGTGATTCTTGTACTGAGAGTAGTTTCCTGTGTCTATACTACTTTCTCGTGCCTATACCACTTCTTATGCCTATACCACTTCCTTCCCCCTATACTATTTTCTTATCCCTATGCTATTTTCTTATCCCTATACTACTTCCTCCCCCCTACACCACTTCCAACACCCCTTCTTGCCCCACTCCACCTTTCACTCCCGGTCCCTCCTTCCTCCCCACACCAAGACATCACATCGTCCCATCTCATTCCTACCTTGTACAACCCCTCCCCCCCCCCACACCATCTAACACACTCCATCCCTCCCTCCATCCCTCCCTCCAAACCACCCATCCCATCCCATCCCATCCTCCACACCCCACCCCACTCCCCCGCCAAAACAGCCCCCCATAACCCGAAACGCAATGTGCGACATACCCACCCACACCCACACGCCCCTACTCAGATTAACATCATACACGCCAAAATGTGTTGAATGGACCCCGCTTCCCGTCCGTCTCTTTCTCTCTCTCGTTTTCTCACACAGAGACATTGGTGTTTTTACTGTGGGTTTGCCGTGTCTGCGTTTGCCTCCATGTGTGTGGGTCTGGGTGTGTGTGCTGGGCGTGTTTCAAGATTCGAGGAAGATTTGGGAGAGATTTGATTTTGGGTTCTAGATTTGATTTTAGGTTCTAGATTTGATTTCATGTGTGTCTAGGTTGATTAATGTGTGTGTGTGTGTATGTTGATTTGTTTTGCGTTTTCCATCCCACCTCCTCCATCTCCCACCCCATAACCATCCCCATCCCATCTCCCTTAATACTAACCCTTAATCACGCAATCTATCATCTAAAAAAAAAGGAAACGCCCTAAACTCTCTTACCCTCTAAATCTCCTGGATATACATAGCTTACAAGTAATATATAACAAGTACCTTAGTCTTAGCTAAGAGATAAGTATATATATAGCGTTTCTATTTCTCTAACTAGTAGTAGCAGTAGCAGCGGCGTTGGTGGTGGTGGTGGCAGAGGCAATACCTAGAAACCACAAACTAGAAAAAAAGATAAAAAAAGATAAAAAAAAGATAAAAAAAGATAAAAAAAGATAAAAAAAGATAAAAAAAGATAAAAAAAGAAAACATTAAATCTAAACCCTTAAAATCCACAAACCTACAAAATCACAACCTTACAAAAAAGAAAAAGAAATCTCACGGCATAGCCAACACATTACCCCCCTGCAAATATCCACATCACAGCAGCCACCACCCTCACATCAACACCCCTCAAGAAAATAAAGGCCAGATTACTGGCAAACAGACCATTCTCTGCCAGGTAATTTGAATATTTCATCGTAGGACTGAATCGCCAGGCTCAAACCCATCTAACACAACTAATCCCCCCCCCCACACACACACTCTCTCTCTCTCCCAAAAAAAACAGCACGGCTAGCACACACAAAGCTACGTACTCTCCTTCCCCAACTGCGCCAAATCCCTCTGCACAAACTCCCGCGCCGAATACAAAGCCGTACTCCCATACACGATTCTCCGCTTCTGCCCCGTGCCTGCACCCTGACTAGCACTCGTACGCTTTGCCCACTCTTGCAAATTCCCATACTCGTCCATGGACCCACCACCAACGGTGAACACAATAGCCTCGCTGAAGCCCTGGCGTCGCTGGCCAAATGTGGCGTCGATGCCGCGGCCCACGCTGCTCTGTTGATTGCGCGCCGCACTCGCGGGCGGCAGGGTACCGCGTGCATTTGCGGAGCGCGGGTCAAAGTAGAGGTAGCTTTCTGTCTTGCTGATTGCGCTCGACGACGCGTTTTGCGGGTCCATGAGGGATTCGGTGATCTTTGTGAGGGTGAGGTCGGTGTTTGTGGGGAGAAAGTTTTTGATGCCCGAGAGCACGCCTTCAAAGTTTGCGCCGAGCCCGGCTTCCTTGAAGCGGTCTGTGACGCGCGACGAGAGACTGGAGAAGCCGCCGAAGAGCTGGGAGGTGGTTTGGGCGGGTTGTGCTGGGGCGGAAGAAATCATGGTCATGCGAGTCAGTTGGCGCACCGTTTTCACGTATTTGACGGCCGTGGTGTCCGCTCCGGCTGCGTCGAGGGCCTGAGTGAAGTTGTCTAGGTCGCTGCGGGACACGTCTTGTTCGGTAGTAAGGTACCACTGCAGGAAGAGACGCAGCTTGTCCAAGGGATCGCTGCCTTTGTCGGGGTCTTTGAGTAGATCTAGGATCTGAGCTTTGGTTTGTTTAGATAGCTCTTCTTCGAGTTGGAAATAGAAGTCGATTTTGCGATCTGATGGATGTTAGCAGTAAGTCTCGGATGTAACAGAAGATTTGCTCACTTTTGATGCCTTCCATGACGGCCTCAAGTATGTTCATGTGCATCTTTATGCTGTCAGTGTGATACCTTGCACTACGGTGCCCGTACATACCTCAATGGTCGCTTTTCTCTCTCGCAGCTCTGGCAACAGTGCCATGGCGCCCTTTAGATGTGCCGCGAACTGGTTGCTTTGCCCGTCCAGATCTTCAATCGAGGATGTCCCCGTCTTCTTCGTGACGCTGTCTGCATCTTCTTGGTATTTATTCCACTCAGTCGTAACGTCGTCTGCAACGTTGGGAAAGGGCAGGGATGCATTACGTGCCCAAAAGTAATCAGAGGCTGTGAGATCGTACGATTGTTTCTTGACGCCCTTTTCTGGGTGATCTTTATCAAGAGGAACCGACATGCTGATCTTGTTCAGGTTGAAGTCGAGCACATCATATACCAAGCTTTGGTACTATTCTTGGATTAGCAAGACAGTCATGCGAGACTTGATTGATTTGAGCTTACAATCCATGAATGGCTGAACATGGGAACAAGGTCTACGTTACGGTCGACTGGGATCATGTTAGCAGGAAGACATACGAGCTTCAGCGCCACACGTACCAATGACCAACACAGGCCGTGAGGCGACTGTAGATGACTTCTGATCGGAGAAAAGGTTGGTCTTTGAGTTGAGGATGTGGTCGCGGAGTTTTCGATCGAGTTTCGCACTGATGTGCTCTGCAGGTCCTCCCTTGGGGCACCGTATGATGGGAACGACGCCCATGGTGACGACGACGGAGAAGAGGCCCGAGACTATGCGATCCATGACTACATCGAGCTCCTGGTCTGGCGTTTGCCCGCTGTTGAGTGTATGGTATGCTCCCTTCATGTTCAGGTGGAACAGATCTGGTTCGGAAACGACAAAGTTGAGATATTGATCGTAGACTTGAGCCAGGTGTTCCGCCGTGCCCGACGACACAGTCTGCGCGCCAAAGTCTTCTAAGAGGGTCCGCGGTATGCTAGAGAGGAAATTGACGTAGGCAGGGCCTGCATTCGAGGTTAGACGAACTGATCCATGTACTACTGTGCTTGCAAGAGTACACACTATATAGGCCACGGGAGAGGTCGGAGGTGATGGTCAGCAGGTTTTGCGCGGTGGGTTCGACGAGGTAGATGACGGGGACCTGATGCTATCAGCTATGTTTCCCAAGTTCAGATGTATTGTGCGCCCTACATCAGGGATTAAATGGCGTGTCGTGTTGATGTTCAGATGTATTGTGACCTATCGCTCTCTCTCAGCAAGATGTTTTGCGAACGTGGGAGATGAGCCCAGCGTACCCCAGCTGCCCGCAAGTCGTTCACTCGCAAGACGGAACTGATGACATCCCTTCCCATGTCGTCGAACACCAGCACCTTCCATATTGCGCCGTCTGTGGATGTGGGTGCTGGCTCGGTGGCGGTCTCATCTGGCGCGTCGATGTCGGTAACGGGGGCATTGAGGTTCAGTATGCGCTTTATGCTAGCTATGCATGAGGATCAGCGCCATTGTCTGTGGGCCGGTACGTGTTTGGATATACCTATCTGCTTGTCTCTCAATGTGGTGGCCATGGTGGGTGAATGTCTGTTCTGTTTCTGCTAGCTGGCGCCCGCCGTGGTGCAGGCTACCGCATGTACCTCCCGTTAACAAGGTCGGGGCAGACTGTGTGCAAAAAGAAGGGGAGGAGAAGAGAAGGAGGCAATTGTTGTTTTAGGTGTAGACTCTCGGTGGTTTCTTCTTCTTCTCTTTCTTTTACTACTTCCTCTTCTTCGTCTGGTTCCTCTTCTTGCTCTTACCAGCTGTTCTCTGCTCTGCGCTCCTGCTCTCTGGCCTCCGTCGTCACCTGCACTACGCCCAAGTCGCTCGAGCTCCCCGCTGGGCCTAGCGCGTCCCACGACTTGGCACACGCGTGCCCTTTGAAAACGGCGCTGTCCCCTAGCCCGTCTCCGTCGCTCTTCAACTCACCTCGCCCACACCACAAATACACTCACTACACTCACTACATCCACACACACACACACACACACACACACACACACACACATTCACACACACCCACAACCCCAACTTCCCCCCTTCCCCCCTTTCTCCCTCTTGACATCCATGCTACTCTTCCGTGAACACCTGCCCACCTAATAAGGGCTTCTGATTCTAAGGCTAGATTCTCTCTTCGAGTCGGCGCTTTGGTGGGAAGTGTGCTTTTCAGAGGCTCGCAGCGGCGTTTTGACGGAGGCTCGCGCTGTTATGGGAGGGTAGAGTGATCATCATCATCAACATCATCATCATCATCAGTCCAGCTGCGGCTACTAACCCAGCTCCCCTCAACCGTCTTTCGCGCTTCGCACATCGCGCGACTGGGCCAGACTGTATTGCGCAGAGCGACATCTGGTGCTGCTGCTCTTCTTCACAGGCGACGCGCACAGTGATTTGTCTGTGTCGGGCAGACGCTGACGCCGTGGTCACGTGAGTGAGCGGGCGAATCTGGGGGTGCGCAAATCGTCGACCCAAAAGTGAGGCAGCAACAGTGTGTGTCATCTCATCGCAATCGCAATAATACGCGAGGCAACTACGTGCGCCCCTCATAAAGCCAAAAGCTACACTTTTCGTGGACTGAGGACACGGGTGGCATCGCGCGCGCGCGCACTGGGACACAAGTTACTGCACTGCACAAACCATCCTCCTGTTTGTCGTCGTCGTCGTCGTCGTCGTCGTCGCCCTTTTTTCTTTTCTTCCCAGGGCAGCAAAGCAAGCAGATCACAAAAGGAATCAATCCATCCCAGGCCCCCAGACGGCGAATCAAAGCAACACCTGCAGGCCTGAAGTCCTCGGAAAGTATTTACAGCGACCATTTCCGGATCCACACTTCTTTCCTCCCCAAAGCGGGAATATTATCGACCTTTTGTCCCTCCGATTCCAACCTCTTTTCCCTGCAACTGGCAAGACCCCCATTCACAACTTTTTGTGACTCCACGCCAGTCTTCTTTTTGCCTAGTGCCGCCTAAAACAGTCTGCTTGCCGACCAGTCACAGCAAAGGGCTCCTGTGCGCGATTCAGCCAATCACATCCCTGCCGCCGTCGCCAACGCTGACGCTGCTGACACACCATACGCAAAAGAGTGCACCGCCATGGCTACCAATCACGTGCCAAGTGACCAAACCCCATTGCAGGCTCAGAACATCTACACCGACGCCTCCTATCAGCATCTCTTCAACTCGGCCGACCGTTACGGCACTCCCTCATGGGATTCTCAGTTGGGCCAACAAGCGGGTCTGACCGCGAATGCGTCGGGCCAGCACTGGCACAACGGCGCCTTCACACAAACTTCCTTCCCTTCTCATGGCCAGTCTTATGCGACACAGAATCCCAGTGCGCGAACACCCTCGCCTTATCAATATGGACAGTTCGGACAACAGGGGTCGATGGGCAATTATGGCCAGTCATCGAATGTGGATCCAACGCTGGGCCTTGACCCAAACGCCATCAGACAGCAACAGCAACAGTCCCCATATCCGATGCCCATGAGACATGCCACTCCCCAGGGTCAACATGGAACGATAACACCACAAGCTTTGCAGCACAACGTCACATCGACCCAACAACATCGACCTTCCGCGTCACCTTATCAGGTAAGCATCACTCTAAAAAAAAAGGAATCCGCTCTTCGCGATACATACCTAACACGAACAGATACCCAAGAGCACATCAGAGATTTTTGCTCAGCAGCGTTCAGTGCCCGCAACATCTTTTGTAAAGCCGGTGCGGGTTCCTGATTATGAGATACCAAAGGGCAGGAAGTCAGGCGGGCTCTATGTTGTGGATCAGGCTGCACTGGCGAAAGCTACCAAGTCTATTGCCTTGAATAAATTCGTGACTCTTGGTTTGGAATCATTTCACCTGGCTACCAATAGAAGTAAGCCACTGTGCTCAGAAATCATGTGCTGTAGTCATCATTCTAATCCCCGTGTAGCTGCACTCCCTGTTTACACAGCCCGACAGTCCATCAAGGACCTGAAAAAGGCGGGTGCGGACAGTAAGAAACTGCGTGCCAAACTCGCCATGGCCAAATCCCAATCCAAGATCTTGAAGTCGGTGAAGAGGCCTATGGAAAGTTTGGCAGGATCGAGAAGAGAAGTCAGCGAGAGCGAAAGCTCTTCCGAGTCCTCCGAGGACGACAGTGACTATACAGATGATGAAGAAGAGGAAGTAATGCCTATCCCTGCTTCCCGGCCCGACGATCCTCACGAGGCTGTCCGGTATGATGTTATCAAGGCCACCTGGTTTCCTTCTTCCTCATCTCCAAGCTCAGATAAAATCAAGAGCAGCATGCGCGAGATCTGGGAAGTGCTGAGTACAATACAAAAGCGATGGCGAATCGACAGCAAGGCTGTGACTGATGCGGAAGATCAAAAGAAGGTGGGCGAGTTGCCCGTACTCAAGAGCCGGGTCACGAGTCAACGCGATCTCCTTCATTCGGCTCTCAAGGCGGCTCTGGAATTTTCCCATCCTGATGTGGTTTACCACATGGGGCAGATTAAACCTTTTCTTTACTTGTGCTATCAGTTCTTGGCGAATCGCTTCCATAGTAAGGATTATGATGGGCCGCTTTCGGCAGTCATCTTTGAGGTACTGTCGCGTTGTGGCACTCTGACTTCTGAGCTTCTTGAAGAAACAAAAGTCATCAAGGCGTTGACCTCTATGAAGAAACATGCCAATGAGAAGCACAAGGGCTTCATCCAACAGATCATTGACAGCGCCGTGTCCAATTCGAAAAAGGCAAAAGCCAGCCCTTCGCCCAGTGCTGGACCAACAGAAAACAAGGGTGCAAAACGGCCAGCAACAGAACTAGGCAATCGCTCAGGAAGTGAAGGTCCCGTGGTGAAGAAAGCCAAGTCTGTTGAACCGGTAACGAATGGAGTGAAAAAGGACAGCGCAACGGTACCGGCTAAAACTTCTGCGACCTCGTCTGCCACCTTTGCGCAGAAGAAGGCTGGTGAGAAGGCTGCGACTGCGTCTGCACCAATCAAAACTCGTGTCAGCCAAATCGCGAACAAGCCATCCAGTATCTTCGCCTCCCTCACTGCTGCAGCTAAGAAGCCAACAGCGCCAACGGGTACTGCGGCGACTAAATCCAGTGTCCAAGCCAAGTCTACCGCAGCCACTGCTGCAAAGGACAGGAAACCGGCCACCACAACTCCAGCCAAGCCTGCCTTCTCCTTTGCACAAACTATGGCGTCTCTGGTAAAACCAAAAGAGCAAGAAGCAGCACCGGTCAAGGCTGAGAAACAATACCCAGCCGAGACGAGCGAAGAAAAGGCCAAGCGTCTGCGAAAAGAATCTCGAAGACACCTCCGCGTTACTTTTCGCCCGGACGCATCTCTGGTGGACATCAAGTACTTCACTCATGTGCCAGAAGAGGAAGAAGGTCACGAGGAGAACTTTGTGCGGGACGCTGGTGACAAGCTGAAAAGTCCACGGTCACTCCAACCGACAAA